GTGTGGTTCAGTAGTAGAGTAGTGCATTACAAAAGACAACAACACAGGAAGTCAGAGATCATCTCTGAAACTTCTGTGTTCACCTTCAGACATTCATGAGTCTCAGTTTGAGCAACATTTGGAGCCAAAAACTCTGATTGGACAAGTAAGTGTTTGATTACAGAATGTCCCCACATGTGTTTATGTTAAACCCCCCCCCCCCCCCCCCCCCCCCCTCTCCCTCCCTCCCTCATCTCTCGCATTCACTTCCTGGGAAGCAGCGCTGCCAGTCTCTGCTTCTTCATGGGGAGGAAGTGGATCTCCTGCGAGCTGACCTTCTTCAGTTTGATGGCCCTGTTCTTGGGGGGCTTCTTATGCGGGTTGTTGGGGTCGTGCTGGTCCCCGTGGGACGCCGACGGCACCACGTAGAGCTGCTGCAGCGACGACGCCTGGCTGCCGTCCCGTTTGATAGAAAAGTTCTTTGTGGAGACGCCCGAGAGGCCTTTGATCTTCCCACAGAGGATGGCGGGGATGGCGTCCTTCACTGCGACGATGACTTTGGCCGTCTGCGAGGCGCTGACTAGCTCCAGGTTTCCGGCGCCGCTCTGTTGACCCAGAGAGCCGGACCCGCCGGCAGCGCTGTCGACCACCCACTTGTGCTGCCGGCTGAACTCCAGCGATGCCAGACTGCCCAGGAGTTTGGAGTCCAGAGACAAAGACGTGCCGCCACCATCTTGACCAGAACGGAAAGACGCTTCTCTGGTCAACTGGACGCACTTTTTCCTCGCGGCTGCCGGCACCGACAGGTCGAGCACGTCGTCCTGCTGAGGACTCGGGTATTCCTGTTTCAGTTCTACCGGGCACGCTCGGACAGAAAGGTCCAAAGCTTGTCCTTCATCTGCAGGAAGAAAGGACGGGGACGCGTGTGGCGGCAATAATGAAGACACGCACCTGCGTGACGACGACGGCGGAGGAGGAGAGGTAGTATCTTTAGGAGACGTCTGAGTGCTTTTACTCGCAGTGCAAACCGGTTTAGGCATGTTCCCCTTTGAGTCCTCGGCCTGGGGGGCGGGAATGGGGACGGGCAGGGGGACGGGCAGCGGGACAGGCAGGGGGATGATGACGGGGTAGGGAACCAGAAGCGTGGCGGGGGGGACTAACGGGGCCAGGGGGGAGGCGTAGGGGGCCGAGAGGGGAGGAAGCGGGAAGAAGGCGGAGCCTGGCGACTGGCAGGTCGACGCTCCGGCCTGGGAGGGGAAGAGATCCTGCAAGATGGCCACAAACGCAGGATTCTGCAGGAGGGAGAGCAGGTTGGCGTCCTGCGTCTGTCCCGCCGACTTCTGGTCGAACGGGTTCTGACACAGGACGCTGCTCTGGAGCTGAGGGCAGCCGGCGGTCTGAGGGATCACGGAGGGGCTCATGTGCTGGAGGACCTGCTGGTCCAGGACCAACGGGAGCGAAACGGGGCTCTGGCTCGCTATCAGGTACGGCGCTGCCCCCATCTGGCCGAGCTGAGACCCGGCTGCACCGGCCATCTGGAGGTGGATGGGCAGCATCAGCGGGCCGTCTCCCAAGCACACCGGGTGCAGAACGGTCGTGGCGACTTTAAGCGCCACGCCTCCCAGAGATTCGGCGCTGGGACTTGCCGCTGCCGGTGCAGGAGGCTCCGCACCACCTTTGCTGCCGCAGGAAGCAGCAGGAGCAAGCGGGTTCACTCCTTCCTCCACTTTACCGGGGGTGTTTCCTCCTCCTCCTCCTCCCACCACGGCGCTGCCCCCGTCAGACTGGGACTGGGTCATGGTGGCGGACGCGTCGTCACTTCCCTCCATCGTTCAGATTGAGGAGTCGGTCGAAATCTTCATCAAGGGCTACTGACGGGTCTCATCCATTGTTCTCCCAGGAAGCCCTGAAACACAGGAAACACAATGTTTAATGGTTTTTAATTTGTAATGTGGAAACTGTCTCTGGTCCATGAACGCAAAATCTTATCTAAGGACAGGAATTTATTCTATTGCAGAACCCAAAAATGGCAAAAATGTCAATGGAGATGGCGAACAACACGAACACCGAAACATAACGATTGAAGGCCACTCAAACCTTTTGGTGGCGCTTTAAAATGACCAGATAATACATTGATGAAATAAAATGATAATTAAAAGTGGGTGATTTTTGGAGGCTTCCAGCTTCTTAAATGAGAATACTTTTTGGTTTACTTCCTCTGCGACGATGAACTTAATATCTTTAAAGTTGTGGAGACAAACAAGAGATTTGAGGAGGTCATCTTGGGCATTTTACAGACCAAAAAAAGAAATCAATTAATCAAGAAAATAACTGACAGATTTATCAACGATGAAAATAATCTTCAGTTTCAGCCATGAAAGAGATAAACAAGTTCTGTGCTCACTGAAGAAAAAGCCTTGAGGAGCCAAGCCGATTTTTGTTTCCTCAATGTTAAAAGAATCATATTTTTTTGCATTTTTATGTGTTTAATTTATCACACTAACTCTCATCAGGAATTACGGCAATAACCCCAGTGCAAAAGTATAAAGACGAGGGA